CTTGTCCTCTTTAAAAGCACAGTGGAAACCTGTCTTTGACTGGGAGAACTTTGACTGGGAGAAGAGTGTATGATACTGGCTGTTTGTGTTCGAGCATCATCGCTTGTACTCGCTTCACTGACCTTCATCAGGAACAATGCATCAAACGGAACCACCCAACCATATACTGTATATATGTAGAACAAGGAAGTGACCCAGGAAACACCTTCCAGTCACAGGACAACAAACACCTGGCCAATGCACAGAATCAGGGTCAGTGAGCTCATTATCATAGTACATAATCTGGAGCTCTTATTGGATTTATCATATGATAAAATATCAAATTTAATATTAATATCAAAGTTAATATTGCCTAGATCTGTCATTTTCCTTCAATTATAATTAAAAGGTGTTCTGAGCAGGTGTTACATTATCACAAAATGAGGTCAAAATGAGCACCAAAGTCATACTGCAATGCCTAATCAGCATGAACATGGCCATACCAAACACATCAATGCCCAAATATCAGTGTACATGTTAACATCGCTGTAGCAAAATCAAGCTTTCCTGCTAGAAGAAAGATCAAACATAAATAAAAGGGTAATGGCTAAGCAAACTGAATAACTAAAGTATTCTTCTTTAGTGTGACTCAAACTATTAACACTGTTAACCCTGTGAGCTACTGAACACAGGAAGTTTTCAAACCACAGCTGGAGGCACTGGGATTTTAAAAGCCCTAAACCGCAGCAGTTAACTTACTAAATAAACATTGTTTTGATCTCAGTGTGATAGCTATAAAACCTTTCAGACTTCTTTGTAAATACAAATTCATCATTTAATGTAGGGTATATTGTGACTGTATAAACATAAAAGTATTTGTCATTTTCACTGCAGCATAGTTGATAATGGCAGTAGAAAATGCCCTGCAGGTCTTCTTTTTGTTTTGTTTGTTGTCCTAACAGACTGTTGAAAAGAACTGCACCAATCTGTATGTTTAATCAGAAATGTGTGTGTGTGTGTGTGTGTGTGTGTGTGTGTGTGTGTGTGTGTGTGTGTGTGTGTATATATATATACAGTGCCTTGCGAAAGTATTCGGCCCCCTTGAACTTTGCGACCTTTTGCCACATTTCAGGCTTCAAACATAAAGATATAAAACTGTAATTTTTTGTGAAGAATCAACAACAAGTGGGACACAATCATGAAGTGGAACGAAATTTATTGGATATGTCAAACTTTTTTAACAAATAAAAAAACTGAAAAATTGGGCGTGCAAAATTATTCAGCCCCCTTAAGTTAATACTTTGTAGCGCCACCTTTTGCTGCGATTACAGCTGTAAGTCGCTTGGGGTATGTCTCTATCAGTTTTGCACATCGAGAGACTGAAATTTTTGCCCATGCCTCCTTGCAAAACAGCTCGAGCTCAGTGAGGTTGGATGGAGAGCATTTGTGAACAGCAGTTTTCAGTTCTTTCCACAAATTCTCGATTGGATTCAGGTCTGGACTTTGACTTGGCCATTCTAACACCTGGATATGTTTAGTTTTGAACCATTCCATTGTAGATTTTGCTTTATGTTTTGGATCAGTGTCTTGTTGGAAGACAAATCTCCGCCCCAGTCTCAGGTCTTTTGCAGACTCCATCAGGTTTCCTTCCAGAATGGTCCTGTATTTGGCTCCATCCATCTTCCCATCAAGTTTAACCATCTTCCCTGTCCCTGCTAAAGAAAAGCAGGCCCAAACCATGATGCTGCCACCACCATGTTTGACAGTGGGGATGGTGTGTTCAGGGTGATGAGCTGTGTTGCTTTTACGCCAAACATAACGTTTTGCATTGTTGCCAAAAAGTTCGATTTTGGTTTCATCTGACCAGAGCACCTTCTTCCACATGTTTGGTGTGTCTCCCAGGTGGCTTGTGGCAAACTTTAAACGACACTTTTTATGGATATCTTTAAGAAATGGCTTTCTTCTTGCCACTCTTCCATAAAGGCCAGATTTGTGCAGTATACGACTGATTGTTGTCCTATGGACAGAGTCTCCCACCTCAGCTGTAGATCTCTGCAGTTCATCCAGAGTGATCATGGGCCTCTTGGCTGCATCTCTGATCAGTCTTCTCCTTGTATGAGCTGAAAGTTTAGAGGGACGGCCAGGTCTTGGTAGATTTGCAGTGGTCTGATACTCCTTCCATTTCAATATTATCGCTTGCACAGTGCTCCTTGGGATGTTTAAAGCTTGGGAAATCTTTTTGTATCCAAATCCGGCTTTAAACTTCTCCACAACAGTATCTCGGACCTGCCTGGTGTGTTCCTTGTTCTTCATGATGCTCTCTGCGCTTTAAACAGACCTCTGAGACTATCACAGTGCAGGTGCATTTATACGGAGACTTGATTACACACAGGTGGATTCTATTTATCATCATTAGTCATTTAGGTCAACATTGGATCATTCAGAGATCCTCACTGAACTTCTGGAGAGAGTTTGCTGCACTGAAAGTAAAGGGGCTGAATAATTTTGCACGCCCAATTATTCAGTTTTTTATTTGTTAAAAAAGTTTGAAATATCCAATAAATTTCATTCCACTTCATGATTGTGTCCCACTTGTTGTTGATTCTTCACAAAAAATTACAGTTTTATATCTTTATGTTTGAAGCCTGAAATGTGGCAAAAGGTCGCAAAGTTCAAGGGGGCCGAATACTTTCGCAAGGCACTGTGTGAAAAATTATTTTATTTGCATCTTTTTTTACCACCCCATTACGTTATTTCTCCCACTCTTATCAGATTATTTTTGCATTGCAGTGGAACTGATATTTACTGTACATTTTATTTCATATATATGCAACAGTGAAACATACTCGCACACATAGAGAGCATGTTAAACTGGTGTTTTAAACAATAATACAGTGCATCCAGGAAGTATTCACAGCGCTTACCTTTTTCGACATTGTTATGTTACAGCCTTATTCCAAAATGGATTAAATTCATAATTGTCCTCTACACTCTACAAACAATACCCCATAATGGCAAAGTGAAAAAAGTTTGCTTGAAATCTTTGCAAATTTAATAAAAATAAAAAAAATCACATGTACATAAGTATTCACAGTCTTTGCCATGACACTTGAGCTCTGTTGCATCCTGTTGCCACTCATCATCCTTGAGATGTTTCTACAACTGGACTGGAGTCCACCTGTGGGAAATTCAGTTAATTGGTCTATATAAAGGTCCCACAGTTAACAGTGCATATCAGAGCACAAAACAAGCCATGAAGTCCAAGGATTGCCTGTAGATCTCTGAGACAGGATTGTATCAAGGCACAGATCTGGGGAAGGGTACAGAAAAATTTCTGCAGCACTGAAGGTCCCAATGAGCACAGAGACCTCCATCATCTGTAAATGGAAGAAGTTTGGAACCACCAGGACTCTTCCTAGAGCGTCCAAACTGAGTGATCGAGAGAGAAGGGCCTTAGTCAGGGAGGTGACCAAGAACCCAATGGTCACTCTGAAAGAGCTCCATCGTTACTCTGTGGAGAGAGGAGAACCTTCCAGAAGAACAACCATCTCTGCAGCACTCCACCAATCAGGCCAGTATGGTAGAGTGGCCAGATGGAAACCACTCCTCAGTAAAGGGCACATGTCAGCCTGCCTGGAGTTTGCCAAAAGGTACCTGAAGGACTCTTAGCCCATGAGAAACAAAACTCTCAGGTCTGATGAAACAAAAGATTGAACTCATGTCTGCAGGAAACCAGGCACTGCTCACCACCTGGCCAATACCATCCCTACAGTGAAGCATGGTAGTGGCAGCATCATGCTGTGGGGATGTTTTTCAGCGGCAGGAACTGGGAGACTAGTCAGGATCGAGGGAAAGATGACTGCAGCAACGTACAGAGACCTCCTTGATGAAAACCTGTTCCAGAGCGCTCTGGAGGTCTGGGCACCTTTGGCACCGTTGTCAGGTGCACGAGGATGAGCGGCATGAAGACAGTGGTCATCAAAATGATTTTTAAAAAAAATAAAAAATAAAAATAAAAAACTTCCGGGCTTTTATGCTGAGGATGCAAAAGAAGTGGCTATCCTGTTGAAATTGAAATCGCTGGACAAATGTAACTTGGTTCGCTGGTGCCAAGTTTTCCCTGACTGAGGCCACATTTGTCTGGAGTTTGAGCACCTGGACAAAAGTCTTTAAGACTTTATGAAGGAAAGATATTTCTGACCTCTCCTTCTGAAGGAAATCAGACCCATTGTCCAGCAGATGCACTCAGTCACTTGAAGGCTGTTGGAATAATACACGCAGACCTCAAGATGGAAAATGTGATGTTGGTCAACCATCAACAGGAGCCATACAAAGTCAAAGTAAATGACTTCAGCCTGGCCTGTCACATGTCAGCAGCCAAGATAGGCTCATATATTCAGAACCATCCATACAGGTCTGAGCTTAGGGCATTCAAAGGTCAGGATATTTGGTACTGAGAAAACGCCGGAAATAACAACACACACACACACACACATACATACTGCCTATATGAACATTCTAAGAATATTGACGGGGGCAGTCCCAGCCCAGAAGATAAATGTAAACGTTTTGTGATAATCAGTGCTCTTTGAGACTTGTCATCTCTCAGAGCCCAGCGCTGTAACAACTCTGCATTTAACCAGAACAAAATAAATACACTTGAAGCTGATTCCTGTATCCTGAGTGTTACTTCTTGGGGCCTTCAGACAAAAGAACTGGGTTAGAATTAAAACAGCTCTGACAAGATGGAAAAGATCATGATGTTAAGTTGAGAAAGCATCTCTGAGGGAAGTTTGCCACAGGTCCACTGTTGACTGTGGATATTTATAGGAACTCTACAGGGGATTCTGCTTTGTTTTGGTATGAATATGGCTGCTTGAATGGGAGGATATGCTGAATGAGCCCTAACATGCATGCAAACAGGAGAAATGAGCAACTATTCTAATGATTCTCATGAAATCTGAATATTGGGCAAAGGCTTCAGGAGACAATGAATACATAAAAAGGAACAGTGCACTTACAGAACTGGAGGCTCAGGCTGAGGACAGCCAGCGCAGCCCCACCCACCACCACCAGGAGGAGGAATCGGTTATGAGCTAGCATCGTGTCATGTGATCAGTACTCTTCTCTGTCTGTCAGCCATCCAGACTACGGTCCATCCCTGCAAACTGAAACACAAAGACTATGTTCACATTATAGCCCTTATTGTTCAAACCCGTTCTTTTTGCCAGATAAGATGTTTTTGTGTGGATGGCTCATGTTCATGTTTAGTGTGAACACCGCCGAGGTCTCAAACTGTCATGCATGTGCAGAGTTACCTGAAATGTGAGTGTACAAGAACAACAACAATAATATAATATGAGTGACAGTCTCACAGCTAATGTCTCTTCTTTAATATTATGCAGCCAGGGCCTTTTATACAAGTAGGATGTAAATAAAATATCTGATAAAAAGAATTCACAAAAAATAAATTTCAAGCAACTGTTAAGAAGCAAATACACACTAAATATAAACTCTAACTAAAATTAAAATATACAACAAGTGTTAAACCTGGCTCGTGTACACCACGTTTTACACATATCTACAGCAGTGTGACAGTGTACCCAGCGGTCCAACACATCTGGTTACAGTATGTACAAGGGCAGAGGATTGGAAACCCAGCAGAAACATTAGGGAGGAAAAAAATACTATAAAACTGCAGTAAATGTAGCCCTACACAGTGAACCCTACCATTAGGAGGTCTAAAAATAATTCCAACTCAGAATGTTCAAGGCTAAGTCATACCAATATACAGTAAGGCTGCATTCACACAGACATTCGACAATCCTCACAGCAGCACCAAGATCAGAAAGTGGCTGAAGGTACTCCACTTCTGTTTCAGTGCAAAAATGCTGATTTGACTGCAAAAATCATTTTATTTATCTTTGGTGATGAATAAATCACAAATGGTGGGCAGGGTGATGATCGGTTTTGGATAGACGTACCATCATCACCCTCTTTTTTTTTTCCTTGCTGTCAGTGATTTAGCAGTAGCAAAATGATGCACTCCTCTTCCGTAGCCATTTTCATTTCTACAGAACAAATCACTTGACCTGACTAGGACTGTAGGCCAGTTTTGCTGCCCATGTTGAATAAGTGGCAGGAGGTTCTCCATGGATAAATCCCAATTTCCTTTTTGGATTGTTCCTTGCACCTTGGTCAACCCGGAAGTCCACCATTTTGAAGGATTGAGGATATATGACCAAGGACATAGGAAAGATCATAAGAAGAAGCTTTATTTTATTGTCATTGTAACATGTACAATGAAATTATGTTTGGAGCTGAGGGCCCTGGGCCACTGCGTGCATACACGCCACCATCACGGGCAACTTGGGAGGTTCAGTGTCTTGCCCAAGGACACTTTGACATGTGGACTGCAGACACCGAGATTCGAGCCCTCAACCTTTCATTTGGGAGATGACTGCTCTACCCACCGCACCACTGTCACCCCCAAGTCATAAGAGACTTGGGAAGCAGCCTCCAGCATTATCTTCTTACATATTATCCTCACATCTTAACACGGACAAGACAAGGAAAAGAAGCAAGCAGGGGAAACATAGATGCAATTAAAGGACTGCACCAAGGAGCTCAACCATATCCTCACAGACATCTTTAACATCTCTCTGAGCCAAGCAGTTGTTCCCACATGTTTCAAGGCCGCCACAATAATTCCAATTCCAAAGAAGCCCCACCCAACCACTTACAATGACTATCGGCCTGTAGCACTGACTTCAATTATTATGAAGTGCTTCGAGCGGCTGGTCATGCAGAACGTTACGTCCATCCTTCCTCCCTCTCATGACCCATTTCAGTTTGCATACAGATCAAACAGGTCCACAGAGGATGCCATTACTGCTGTTCTCACCCACCTAGATTCAAAGAACTCTTACGTGCGAATGCTGTTCCTAGACTTCAGTTCAGCATTGAACACAATCATTCCCCAGCAGCTTACACAAAAACTTGGGACACCTGGGACTCAAAACGTCTCTCTGCAACTGAGTGCTGGACTTTCTAACAGGAAGGCCACTAAACGTGCAGGTCAGAAGCAACATCACCAAGACCATCACGCTGAGCACAGGAGCTCAGCAGGGGTGTGTGCTCGGCCCATTGCTCTTCACACTGCTGACCCACGACTGTGTGCCAACCTACAGCACCAACCACATTGTCAAGTTTGCGGATGACACAAGTCATCACGACTGTAGTTGGCTTAATTACCAACAATGATGAGGCCAACTACAGGAGTGAGGTGTGCCAACTGGTCCAGTGGTGTAAGGACAACAACCTCTCCCTCACTGTGGGGAAGACTAAAGAGATCATTGTGGACTTCAGGAGGAAACCTCTAAAGCATCCACCACTGACCATCGACGGTGCTGTAGTGGAGAGAGTGAGCAGCACCAAGTTCCTGGGGGTGCACATCTCTGAGGACCTCTCCTGGACCATCAACACCACATCACTGGGCAAGAAAGCTCAAACACGCCTCTACTTCCTCCACAAACTGAGGAGAGCCAGTGCCCCACCACCCATCATGTGCTCCTTCTACCGGGGCTCCATTGAGAGCGTCATCACTGACTGCATCACTGTGTGGTATGGAGGCTGTACTGCCTCTTGCAGAAGGACCCTGCAACACATGGTGAAAACAGCCAGCAAAATCATCAGTGCCCCTCTGCCTTCCCTTACGGACATCTTCAACACCTGCCCCACTCGCAGAGCCTTCAGCATTGCTGATGACACCTCCCACCCTGCACACTCCCACTTCAGACTCCTGCCTTCAGGGAGAAGGTATCGGAGTCTCCAGGCCCACTCCACCAGACTTACAAACAGCTTCATCCACCAGGCTGTGAGGATGCTGAACGCTGTTCACTACCTTCCCCCCTCTGCCTCTGGACAGTAACCCACCACAGAACATAAAAAGATATAAAACAAGTACCCCTGCTGTTGCACAAATTCAATACATTCCCGCTTTTGTTATATTACAGGTAAACCTGCTGCTGACTGCTGTGGAAACAAAACAAAATAAAACTACTTCTGCTGTTTTACCTTCTGTTATATTATATGTAAACCTGCTGCTGACTGTTTTTTTTTTTTTTATTTTGCAGGGATATCTGCTGCTGTGAGTCATTTGCAATACTGTCCATGTATACCTCATATGCTATTTGCACCTCATCATCAATGCCCTGGTGATGCTGAACCATCTGACAATCTCCTATTATTGTTTTGCACTACTGTTACTGACTGTACTCGGTTTGGAGTCACAGTTCATTGGCTGCACCGTTTAGAATTATTCTAATTAGGTTAATCCAGTTTTATTCTATTCTATTATTTATTCTACTTTATTCTATTTTAGTTCCTAAACGTTATGGCACCCAATACTAGGTGAGAGAGAAACGGTATTTCGATTTTCTGTATGTCCTGCACATATGGTGAACTGACAATAAAACCCATGAACCTTGACTACTCTGTAGTTACTCATTAACAGGTAGGCCTACGTGCGCTTGTCAAGCACAGAAAACCTGAAATGCAAAGAACTTAACTATTTATCGAGAGGAGGCATGGACGTAGTTTAACGTTACTAGAAAAAATATCTGGTTAACTAGTTAGCTTATCTGGTTAACTAGTCAGCTAAAGGTTAGCCGTAGCTACTTAAACTCATTAACGTTAATGTTCCACATCGGCTGAACAATCCCGCTGACTGGCTTTTGGAGAACACTGCCCACGGAGCTGTCGTCGGTAACGTTTGTTACTGTAACGTTAGACTTCTCCAGACTTTATTTTATCGCTACTTGTTGCTTACATCTCGGGCAAGTTGATGTGTAGCTTTGTGTTGCTATTCACGGTGCGAGCAAAAAGGGGCAAGCCAAGAAATTAAAATGCCACATCAACAATCGTACTCGCTACAAAAGGCGACCCAACAACCACCAAATGCAAATGGATGAACACCTAAGATCCATTTTAAAAGAGAACAGTTTGCATTTGTATTACCTGCAGGAACTGAGTGATTCAGAGCCACAGACAACCAGGTTAAACACTTGAATCCAGCGCTTCAGTTTGTCCGGTATTACCGACCGCCAACAGTGACAACACAGCCCGGTGTCAAGATCTGTATGATATAAAGGAAGACTTCCTGTGGGTAACTTTCAAAATAAAACAGCTGTTAATTTATATCGTTTTGCGCATTAGCTAGGCTATGTATGATACAGAGTGTTTAATAATTTTATAAATGACTTTTTGCATAGCTTTTAAATAAAATTTGTTATAATAAGCAACTACTGTAGACATGAAAATAAAGTCTAATTCTAGTCCACAGCATTGCTGGCAATCAAATTTGATACTCCTAGCCTTTTCACTTGCAGTAAACTTTGGCGAAAAACTCTTTATATGTCCTAATCTTCGTTCTGTTTCAACTACTCGTATTGTTTGAGTAGTGAAAATAATTCACAAATTAGACCAGATATTCATATGTGAGTGTAGCTTATATAAAAACATGTTAAAATCAATGGAAACCTTTCTTCCTGTGCCAACTCAGGAAGTTCAACCTGCCCCAGGGTCTGCTGATACATTTCCACAGAGGAGTCACTGAGTCTGTTCTCTGCTCATCCATCAACAAACAAACAGGACAGGAACAGACTCCAGTGGGCAATCAGGACTGCAGAAAAGATCATACTTGCCAGCCTGACCTCCATGGAGGACCTGTACACCTTAGGGGTCAAAAGGAGGGCAAATAAGATTTCTACCGATTTGGTGTGTTTTTGATAGAAAAATAAGGTTGAATTTCTGGCCAATGATTTTATAATTTCGGCAAAATATTATATTCATAAATGCAAATGGAGTAAAAGTCAACCTTGTTTTGCAGCCTTTGGGTATGGCATGTCCACATTTAAGAACTCACTGGGTTGCAGAGTGGTATTCATTTATTTGTAATCAGTCAATTGAGAACAGGCTCGTTAGAGACTATTTATTCTTATTTTCTTTTTTTTTTTAAGCAAAACTTATTGTTTTTCCGGTTTTACTTTAGCTTTTATTTTACCTTGACAGTTATGTGAATCGTGAGAGCAGATGGGTGAGCTGTGGACAGGCATCTCAGGCAAAAGCCCAACCTCATCGCCCCATCTACTGGAGGAGTGGCAGCAATGCACATTTTGCCTTAACGACTCCTCGCTGTAACGTGGGCTACTAAGTGTATTCTGATGCTTTCTGTTGCAGGCTAAATGGCAACAAAATATGGTCAGTGCAGTGTTAGTCAACAAATAAACATAGGCTACTAGAAACCACAATGCTTTACACCAAAATTTTGTTCTACCAATTTACACCCATGAAGATATGCAATTAAGTAGCTGAAAAATTATAAACCTAAACTGGATTTTTGTAAGAAAGAAAAACAAGTAGCTATTTTAAAACCAATTACTTATAAACAGGAATTAAAAGAATGGATAGAAGTAAGGAATGTTGCTTCATAAATGCACTATAGACCTTAATTTCCCTCTGATAAACTGCTGACCTTTCACAAATTAAACAGGAAGGTAGTGTATAGGAGAGGATTTGAGATATTCTGCAAGCAATGATTTTGCAACAGAAGCATATATAAGGGCAAAAAATGTGAGCAGTTTCATTTTCAAGAGACTATTGTGCCTAAGTAAAGCCTCACAGAGCAGCTAGCATGGCTGTAGAGCATATGTTTGAAAGAGATGGAGGGTGTATATTTAATTTTTTAATAAATAACTTACAGAAGGCATACAGTATGTTTAATAAACCTATGTAGTGAAAATGGACTAGCAGTGGTGTGAAGCAGCAACATTCCAAGTAATGTACTTATAACATACGCACAACAATTTAGGGGTCTTTGCAGAAATTTGCATATTTGAATTTTCTGTAACACACAGTATATTATTTCCAGTAGTGGGTTATAGCCAGCCATACCTTATAATGACACTTTTGCATTTGTTAGCCATGAATTCCTAAAATTTCCTCTCAAACTACTGTTTTGAATTTTAGCTATTTCACAGCCCAGTTTCAAAATATCACCAGTGAGGTTAGATTAACAAATCAGACTCGATCTTATATGAAGGTTCTGTGGAATGTGAGGAAAGAATCAGGTGAGAAAAAGTCTGTCCAAGTTGGTCAGATGTCAGGGCCCATGTGAAAAATGCATGGGTCTCCACTGTCAACATGTTTTACATACTGTACATAAACCCAGTGCCCTAAAATTGTTCAAGGTTGGCTGATATTTTTCTGGTGGAGTTCACTTACCTGTGTACAGAAAGAGATATAGCACTTACCTCCTCATTACACAACACACTTTCAAAACTACTGCATGTATTGTATACTGTATAAAGACTCATCCAATTCATTATTAAATCTTTTTTTTTTTTTTGCAAACAGGCTTTTAAGAGAGTAGTGATGAAAATCGTGTGGCCTAAAACTAGGACGGAACCCTGGCTTGGCCCTAGAACTCATGTGGCCAGACAGATATGCCGCAAAGCTGAAAGAAGGTGGAAGAAGGATGGACTGCAAGTTTCACTGCAAATTTTGAAGGACTGTTGGCGCAACTATCAGAGGACTGTGGAAGAAGCTAAGCGGGAGTATTTGTCCAATATTGTTGCAGCTAATAGTCATGATTCACGTGTATTATATAGAACAATCGGGATGGTGTTAAATTCCCCGCAGCCTGACTGTCAGGAAGCAACGGTTGAACTATGTAATAAGTTTTTAGTTTATTTTAATGAGAAGGTTGCTACTATAAAGGCCACTGTGGTTGGGTTAGTGCCTGATCCATCGGTCTTTACTCCGTGTGTGACTACTTTTGATGTTTTTGAGCCGGTAACTCTGACTTTTTTGGAGGGAATGGTTGCCCAGGCCAACCCTTCTGGCTCCCCTCGAGATGTCGTTTCTCCGGCTTTATTTAAGGAAGTCTTCCCATGTATTGGAGGCACGGTCTTGGAAATTACTAATAGTAGTTTGTCTTCTGGTGTTGTGCCTGGTTATTTTAAGCATGCAGTTTT